AAGACGAAAGCCTATTTCAAGAAAAAATAATACTCCTAATTGTGAGCAGCCTAAGAGGAACTCCAACAACTCCCTTAAAAATCTTTCTGTAAAACTGGGTTTTGGTCTTGCCGTGAAGGTTAGGGAAAGTTTTCTGAAAGCAATCTTTCTCAGTTCCCCTAAACTTCTTTCACTAAATTTATTTTTATTTTTATTTTCGACAAAACTTCTGATCTATTCATCTTCAATCATGGCAGTACAACGAACATCAGAAATAACAAAAATTACATCCAGATCCGTAGACCACCTAGCGGCGACTACAAGCACTGAAGCAAGCCGAAGGCGCGCCGTCGTCATTGCCCCTCCCACGCCGAAGCCGGGCAAAACTTGTTGTAGTAGACAGTCGGGAAGTCGTCGTGCTAAGGCCCCATAGGACCAACGCGACAGAATAGCAAGCGCCGCCAATGAAGAACGTAGATCGAAAGGATCCAACCTGAAAACACATGAACGTAGATGAACTACGACCAGATCCGAGCAAATCCACCAAGGACAGATCCGCCGAAGACACACCTCCACACGCCCACCAATAATGCTAGACACGCCATTCGAACGGGGGCTAGGTGGGAAGAACCTTATTCCATCTTCAGGGAGTCGCCACCGTCTCATCTTCCCGAGTAGGACACAAACTCTAACAAAACGTGAAGAAACAACTGAAAACAGAGCCCTCCCGCCGGCAAGAACCAAGATCCACCGCGCCGCTATGGCCCTAAGGTCATCGGAGACGAGGCGGACCGACGACGGCGCCGGCGAGAGGCAAAGAACCCTAGACTTTTCTTGAAGAGGAGGCAGCCCGCTTGGGTGTGGTGGTCGCTGGCGAGGAGCGACACGGGCTGCGGCATTCCGGCGGGTGGCGCGGGCGGCAGTGGGTGGCAACGGCGGTGTTTATAGAAAGTTGGGGCAAAAAGAACTCTTTAATATTTCTCGTAAAGTTTATCTTCCCGTAAACTTGTGGGGTGAAGATGTAATTCTGTAGTCGGTTTTTGCCTCAATTTTTGGTAAACATCGATTATTCCAGAGACAAGGGAGGCATCTGCTAGAGATGCCCTAACCACAATTAAGGTAGGTCGGGCAATAACAATTTCGCACTAAGCCACCGGCATCTTCTCTAATCTCTCGCCAGCGGTGGCCGCGGGGCATCAGAGGAGTGGTATAAGAAAGAACCCTCCCCTGTCCAAACCCCTGCTTTGCCCGAGCCCCTCACCCTTATCTCCTCCATCCTCCATCCCGGGAATTTTCCACCTTCTCCGCCCCCATGGAGTCCGGCCTCGTCGCAAGCCACCGCCTTCGCCTCCCGGCCCTCCCCTTCGCGGCCCATGCCCACCTCCTCCGCCACCGCCGCCTCGCGGCCACGCCCCTCCGCCTCCCCACCACCCCGACCCCTCTCCGCCAGCCCGCCGCGCTCCCGCTCCGCCCCTGCCTCAGGCCTCCCCGCGCCGCCTCCGTCGCCTCCCCCGCGCCGGCGCCCGGCGATGCGCCGGACAATTCCCGCAAGTTCCTCGGCGTGGACGCACTCACGCTCAAGAAGATCGTGCCCCTGGGGCTCATGTTCTTCTGCATCCTCTTCAACTACACCATCCTGAGGGACACCAAGGACGTGCTCGTCGTCACCGCCAAGGGGAGCAGCGCCGAGATCATCCCCTTCCTCAAGACGTGGGTCAACCTCCCCATGGCCATCGGCTTCATGCTTCTCTACTCCAAGCTCGCCGACGTGCTCTCCAAGGAGGCGCTCTTCTACACCGTCATCTTCCCCTTCATCGCCTTCTTCGGCGTCTTCGGATACGTGCTCTACCCTATGCGCGACGCCATCCACCCCACGGCGCTCGCCGACCGCCTCCTCGCGTCGCTCGGCCCCAGCTTCATGGGGCCCGTCGCCATCCTCCGCGTCTGGAGTTTCTGCCTCTTCTACGTCATGGCGGAGCTCTGGGGCAGCGTTGTCATCTCCGTCCTGTTTTGGGGATTTGCCAATCAGGTACACACAGGGAAACACTTCTCGTTCCCGAATCCTGGCTATAAGTGTGCAAAATTGTTGGGTCCTCCGCTGTTCCAAAATATTGGGAACGACTAAGTACGTGTGCATAGGAATTTATAATTTATTACTGGTTCAGAATCAGTCGCAGTAGATTGATTCTATAGCAGTTATACAGTTTCTCATGTGCCCGTACTGTTGTTTTTAGATTACTACGGTTGAAGAGGCTAAAGAGTTTTACCCACTCTTCGGGCTTGGGGCCAATGTGGCTCTCATCTTCTCTGGTCGCACGGTGAAATACTTCTCAAACATGAGGCAGAATTTGGGTCCAGGGGTGGACGGATGGGCTATATCATTGAAGGGCATGATGAGCATCGTGGTTGTACTGGGTTTCGTCATTGCCGGTATCTATTGGGGAGTGAACAAGTATGTTATTGATAAAACATCTCTGCCGGTCGAACGGAAGAAGAAGGTTAGCTCTGTTATGGTTTCTGTGATTTTACTACTTGTATATATGGAGTTTCTGTTGACGGTGCTGTACATAACCTTACTTACAGAATAAGCCAAAGCTTAGTATGGGGGAGAGTTTGAAGGTGCTGGTATCATCTCGATATGTGAGGGATCTTGCCACACTGGTCGTTGCTTATGGTATAAGCATCAACCTTGTAGAGGTGACATGGAAATCGAAATTGAAGGCACAGGTAAGTTCATCCATAAATCATGACTTACAATTTGTTCATAGACAACATAGTAGTTGACTTTTATGTTGTTCTGTTGCAGTTCCCAAGTCCTAACGAGTATTCTTCATTCATGGGCGATTTCTCAACGGCTACTGGCATAGCTACGTTTACAATGATGTTGTTAGGGAGATTAATTCTTAGAAAATTCGGGTGGGGAGTTGCAGCTACAATCACCCCTGCAGTGTTGCTTGTCACTGGAGTTGGATTCTTCTCACTGCTTTTGTTTGGCGAGCCACTCACTCCTCTTCTAGCCACGTTTGGGATGACGCCTTTGCTTGCGGCGGTCTTCGTTGGGGCACTACAGAACATTTTCAGTAAGAGTGCAAAGTACAGTTTGTTCGATCCTTGCAAAGAAATGGCGTACATTCCTTTGGATGAGGACATGAAGGTTAGTGCTGAAAGTTACTTGTTCCTAATGTAGAAAATATCTCTTCAGTTACTCATGTAATATAGTAGCGTGGGAACACATGGCAAAACCAACTAGTCATGTTTTCATACGGTTTTGGATTTCCAAGATCTGAAATCGAAATTACTAGTAACTGAAACAAAACAGAACATGCCATCAATCATGATGATTATGTAACTATGGTACTTTCGAGCTATTTTGCTGTATCAGTTTAGTACAGTTCAAAAGATACTGTAGATTTTGAGAACAGATAAGGAAGGATGTGAATAGAACATAAACTTCATTTGATATACTTGCTATATTACAAAATGAAAATCAATCATCATATGATAAAATATACATGCAAAACTGTATAGTTTGACTAGGTCTGGTTAAAAAAATAACGGTTGATCAATTCTTTGATTGTAACTAGAATTCAGTTATGTTGATATGATCAAAGTATGTTTAAGTTGTTGTGCTTCATTATTTTTACTTCCAATCGTAATTCCCTGCACACTAGAATCCTTGCTCAATGTTATCTGACAATCATCTGTACTTGTTTGTTGTTCCCTCTCCTAATGAAAAAAGGCGTGCTTTCTCTTCCTGAAAAAAACAATTATCTGTACTTAACTGTCAGAAATTTTATGATGGATATAAGAGCCTAGTATGCATTGTCTACAGGCCTTGATGCTTGCTTTAACAAATACCTGGCTATTGTCGAATTCTCGATACTTATTTAGTAACTTCTTCTCTTGTCGTGATTATAGGTCAAAGGTAAGGCAGCAATAGATGTGGTATGCAACCCACTGGGAAAATCTGGAGGCGCCTTGATCCAGCAGTTCATGATCTTGTCATTTGGGTCTCTTGCCAACTCAACGCCGTACCTTGGAGGAATATTGCTGGTGATTGTCATCGCGTGGTTGGGCGCTGTAAGGTCCCTTGACTCGCAGTTCTCTCCCCTGGCAAAGCAAGACCTGGAGAGGGAACAGAAGCTGAAAGCAGAGGCGGTAGAAACGACGGCTCAAGTCGTTGGGACAGGGAACGGTTCCCTTCAAGAAAATGTTGCTTCCACAAACGGTACGGTCATCAAACAGTCGCAAGAACCCGAGATCACTGCCCCTGAAAAATCTGGCAAGCAGTCTTAATAAGTTTCCACCCCCAGAAATTTAGTTAGTACCGAGTTTTTGATGGAACCAAATGTTGCTTGGTTGGGCCTGCCATGGGGAGCTGCTGGGAAAGGCAGTAGAGTGATTGATAAGAAAAATAAGATGGCCTGTTCTTCTGTTGTTGTAGCATATTTTTGACTTCATGCAAGTATCTATAGCTGTTTACTGGGAGTATCTGTAGCTGTTTGGTTTGTCGCTCCGTAGATATGAAACTATTTTTCTTGATTTTTTTATATTACAATTTTGCGGAAAATCTGCTTTCACAGATCTATTAGTCCATGCTCAAAAGTTACTACTCCTACTACTTTTTTTTTTGCTACTGCTTGTTATTCAAATAAACCCTAATCTTTCTGAACACTGATCAGACAATTAATTATGAGCCTTGCCTAATTCTGGCATCAATATATGCTCAAGATCATGTGTTTCATATATGCCCAAAATACAGCACAACCCCTGCAAAGTTGAAGAAAGGAGTGCCCTTAAGAAGCATATTTGTGCACATTTTCCAGACTTGACTTTGTCAATATATAAGCTATATATTACGCAGGATTTTTTTCGCCCTCAATAAAACATCGGCCAAGTTTTTACAGGACAAGATACCTAGTTCTTCACTCTTCCCGCCCTACATATATCTAATCTAAACCTCTAACTCCTAGTGTTAGCTGGAGTATATAGCATGCCTGGGTGCTACTCTTTTCCCCTTGTCAGCAGTAGAACATCACCCTCTTCACCCTCTCTTTCACTGCCGGCATAGTCTTCATGGCGCCTCCATTCCTCCCGTTGGCATTCTTCACCGAGAGGCTATCTTGGTCCATGTAGAAACGTGCCCGGAATGCGGCTAGATGAGCGTAGTAAACAGGCGGCACTGCTCAAACAACACAACATACCAAAGGCCAAAGTTCAGATTTCTCGCCAAATTGTTACGTTGAAAGAGTTAATGTATTCAGCAGGAGCGCGAGAAGGAAGAAATTACCGACAGAAACAGATCGTGTGCAACGCACATACCTGCGACGAATTCACATAGCTAGTAAGATATTTTTCAAACTGAATAACGGAATGCAACTTTGGTTCTGAAAAAGTATCATGAATTATAGGATGGGAACAGCATACGTGTAGCAAAGGTTGTTCGTCAAAGTCTGCATTTCATCCGCCATGAAATTGTTCTCGTCCCACAGAACATGATAATGTGCTGGCTTACTGGTGCCCTGGCAATGTCACTGACATTAGCTAACTCACTATAAGATCATCTCAGCTTTAACAACATAATTATTGTACAGGCTACTCTCTGCATTTTGTACATTCAAGCCTATAATCATAGCCACGAAATATGAAATCAAGGCAATCCTTTCAAAATTCAATCGGACACGTCCTTACCTGGATTCCAGCATGGCTGCAGAGGTAGAAATCAAACTGTGTGGGATGGCATATCTTTGAATCAACAACGGTGCCTATTTTAGGCACAACCAGTGAGCAGTTATGAAAATTTATTAGGGCAAAGAAAATGTAAGTCAATAAGTGAGTTATCAATATCTTGATGATGGAAATGGCATGGCATATACCAGGCAGGATATTTCCGCTCTTGTCGGTGCTGCTTTTATCGTTGTGGTTGTTTGCAAATAGTTTTGTATGGTGACGCTTTTGGACTATCACAAACGTCACTGGAGGTTGGTAATTTGGTTCTAAAGATGCACAAGCCTGAAAATATCCAAGGGGTCAATTAGGATACTTTAACGTGTAAGCATGTCAACATAATAGGTAGAACATTAGTTGACAACCTTGCGGATGGCATCTAACTCGTAAAGTAATACTTGATGGAACTGTCCTGCGCTGACACCGTCCCTGCAGAAGAAAAGAATTCGTAATTATCTGAACTTCCATACAACACAAAACTGTTGGCATTAGCAAGCCTTTTGTACCCTGCAAGAGACATCCAACATGCACAGTGAAGTACTACCTGTAGAAGATTATTCTCAATGGTTTCTGCCCTGTGGCTTTCCTGAAGGAAATTAAAAGCTCCCTGCATGAAGTTACACACAGAAAGGAAATTCATCAAGCTCATTCTGTGCATGGGAGGTCCTGATATTTTTTCAGAGAGATCCAATGATCTGAAGTTGGATGCTCTACTTAACACTTTCGCCGTGCATGATGACGGATGATCAAATGCACACATTGTTCTGTGCTTCTTTGTCGTCTCGAGTGAACTTGTGCATTATCTTTACAGATGATGTGTTATTAAGGGTGTGACTCAGTGCATGAGAAATACCTGATCATGCCTCCGGTGACAGTGCCTCGCTGAGGATCATGCCATGTTTTGTAGAGATCCTGGATGAGCTCTTGCCGATAAGCTTGAGCGCACACCAATCCAGCGTACTTTGTAACTTCTGGCCAGTCTTGAGAAGCAACAACCTGTAAAAGCACCGTATTAGAGGATATCATATGGAAACTTGGTTAAAGAGACAGCAGAGTAATGCTAAATCTTACCGCAGCAATTGATGGACTGGTGTCCTCTCTGGTTTCAGGATGCGTTACATCCGCACCAAATATTATTGTCGGTACATCACTGACCAATGGGATTCTCCGACTTACCGCGTCCAAGAGTACGGTATTTCTTCCCCCCATCTGATTTCACCAAAATTGTTAAACATGAGATATAGTGAATTGTCTCTATCATCAGAGACTAACTTACTTTCTGAACGTGAAATCTACGTGTGAAACGAAGACCATTGGTCCCAGTTAATAACTACCTTAACATTGATTTTGAGTGAGACATTCGCCAGGTATCGTTTGCAGATCTTAAATACATGCTTTGCTAAGCAGCACTGTGACATTATTCCCAATTCGGTCTCACAAATGCGCTTTATGTCACCTGAAAATTAATACTCATTATATGTGAGAAAAGCAGAAAGGACGAGCAGAGGACTGAAAAATATTTGCAACAAAGTACTGTACAATAGGAGGTGAAACTGCATCCTCACCATACAATGCACCATTGTTGTCAGGGAGGATTACCAAAAGAAGCTCAAGCTCCTTTCCCTTGGGTTTTTTCAGTGCAGCGTTATACACATGCTTAAGCGCCTGTACTGCTTGCTCTGGTCTAGCCGAATACATTGGTATAGCAGGCTCGCTGTTGAACTCCTGCAATGCCGTTTAACAAATAACAGTTACTTGAAAAAATATTGCTACTGCAACTGAAAAAAGCAAGCCTCTGTATAATATAATATACTAGCATAAATGAGAGGTATACCATGCCTAAAAGTTTACACGTTTGGGCTAACTCCTGGCAAAATCCACTGGCAGTGCTTTCTTGAACACTTCTTGAGAAGTTAATGGATGCCCAATGATTCACAGTGCATCCATTGACAACTTTCTGCAAAAATGATTTTATTTCAGTGGTGAATTGACAACTTCAGGCACAATAGTAACTCTACTACAACTGAGAAGTGATGACTTCAGCAGAGTGGATATTAACCTTGTTTTTCATGTCCCATTGGCCAACACGAGGTAAGCACTCTGACTCTTTTCCGGTATCATGATATTTTAGCTTCACACAGAAAGGCAAGTCAGGAATGAGCACAGAATAGCTGGCAATAGCAAATTGGAGAACAGCATTGATCTTACCCAGGGTGCAGGCAGAACTCTTGCTTCAATAGAGGTGAGTTTGTCGCTTATGTTTATCCCAAATTCCTTCGCATAGGGATCTTGATCATATCCATTTTTGTGAACGGTCTGAAAACAGTTGCCTTTTAGTCTTTTAGGCAATTTTGGTAGGGGCCAGACCATGTTTTATGTCACTCAATGTTGTGTAATGAAACAAAACAAGAAGAATTGGCAGCGGGCAGTGAAAATTGTACTCCTCCTATATCGGGTTTTGACTGAATTATGTTGAAGCACTGACAAAAAAACAGAGTACATGCACGTTTGGTTCATAACCGAGCTTTGCCAAGATTTTCCTGCTAAACTGTGGCAAGCTAAAAAGGGTGTGGTAAATAAATTGGTGTCCACAACTTTGGCAAAAGTATATGAGTTCGGTGACAGGTGGAGCAGGCTGGTAAGAAAGTGTGCCGCGACACTTACATTTGTGCCAGTAAAACAAACAGTAGCTACACACATCTGTCACTTATGTTGCAAAGTGTGGCAATGAAGCCAACAATATTCTTCAATGTACTACGCAAGGATTGAAATAAACTTGGCATGTTAATTATTGAAAACAACAAAGAAATTATTCAAAATAAATTTGGCATGATAGTATCTGAATTTCTTATGAATGGTCTCTGCAAATATTGCCAAGTTCAATCACTTTTGAGTATACCAAGAAACACTTCATACCCGTCGAATATCCATTTCCTTGTCTCCAGGCCTTTGGCATGTAACTTTCAGTAATGATGTGATCTGCTTTTCATTCAACCTCTTCTTGTATCTCTGACCTTCAACAATCTTGCAGACCTGTCAATAAGCATCTCGTGTCACACAGTATTCAGTAATAGTAAAAGCATCATGTATTGCACTGGCTGATAGGAAGTTTGGGACAGCGCGAGACTAAAGACATTAGTTACTGACCTCCATTGGTAGATAATTTGGCTTCTTTTGGTTTCCTACAAGAAGGCAGGGAAGATGTGGTTGCTTTATGGTGAAACCATACATTTCCTTGAAGTACTCTACAACCGATTTCACTTCATCGTCAATTGGGAAACTGTTATAAGAAAAAGAGCAAAGGCAGGTGCTGAAATGTTAGCCCAAGCACCACTACTTTGTTTTTTGCATGTTTAAGTACATATTTGCGTAACAGTGTAAGAAAGGATGCCAATATGCCATGCACCGTCAATACGCTATGCACTTTAGGAGTTAGGACAAGTTTGAATTAGAATAGTTTATCTAGCAATTGTTAACACATCTAACACCAAAAACTAAGGCCTCCTATGGTTTGTAGGAATTCTGTAGGAATTCCATAGTATAGGATTCCTACAGGAAAAAATCAAAGAAATCTAGCGAAGCTGTGGATGAGGCTGGCTAAGGGAGAATATCATACGGAAACCCACATTCGGTTGAAACCAGTGAAAACCACGCGAAAAAGATGTTTTAGAGTTTCGAAAAAATCTCAAAAAATATGGGATGTTAAGAGGGTGATGTTCTATTTTTTCGAGAAAATGCAAAGGGCTTTTGCATTTCATTGCATTGTATTGCCATGCAAAATTTCAAGTTCAGATACATTAGGGATGTGAGCTATCAAAAAGACAAAATCAGCATTGAATAGTGCCGAACAGTAACGTCACTAGTCATTGCTGAATTTGTCTTTTTCATAGCTCGCATCCATATGTGTTTTTACTTGAAATTTCATGTTACAATAGAACATCATCCTCTTAACATCCCATATTTCACATGACAATAGAACATCATCCTCCTATGGCTTCCACGAAGTTTTCTTTAAATGTTGGTCTCTGTATGATATTCTCCTGGCTGGCTAATGGGACGGTCATCTTTCGAACCAAGGTAAAAGGCAATTAAGTTTCATCAGATTCAGACTTACGGTCAGTGCTGAAACCAATGTCCGAACACCCCACTTAAGATAAATTCCTTTAGAGCCCTTTGGTTTGTAAGAATAGATTTCCTATTCCTATGTAGGATTGGTTCCTATCCTTCACATTTCAAAGGAAAACAAACATTAGCTTGGACCTAATGTAAAAATTCCTATCCTATGAACCAAATGACATCTCATTTGCTATAGGAACTGAGATACATGTCATCCCATTTCCTATGACTTTCCTATTCCCATGATACTTCTATCATATGAACCAAAGGAGGCCTAACTAACCGCATATAGTTTCATGTATCAACCAGTTCAATGCTCAAGTTGTTAACAAAAACTGCTGTTCATGCTACAACATATTTTAAGTATTCTATTTCTCAGAGTAGAACCATCACCAATAAGCCTGTCGAATCATTTTTCTTCCAATATTTTTAATTATTACACAAACATTCAGTTGCCAGTACATAACTACAAAACATCCTGGAATAAACTGAAGTTCCCATAACATTTAATGTCCGGTCAGGTGAATTTTATGGCACTAAAACTGACAATCCTCAATTATTTGGAAAGTAAAATGGAAGGCAAAAAACAGGAACACAAGAATAGCACCAACAGAGATTTCAGAACATACATTAGCTCATGAGTTGGTTGCGCTGTCAAGCCGAAGACACGGTATTTCCGTCTTAAACTTCCCCGGTGAGTGATTTCGACCTTCAAATCGTGTAGAGCTTTCTTTATCTGCTTGACATCAAACACAACCATATAAACTAATCAGGCATCAGCCATGAAGTATTGAAAAAACACCAGTTCACAACCGAACAAGTACGAATTTCACATGGTCTTGCCTATGTAATGTAAGTAGTAGTGTATCACTAGTCTGGATATAGCACATAAGCGCAAGTGTGCAACACAATTTACCCTGACTCGGTTCGCGTCCGACAACGGCCTTGACATGACATCCTTCCCCAGGATCTGCGCCGCAAAATCGATCACCGGCAGCGGCTCGACAAATGCCGTGGACGACATGTCTGAAATCGGCACCCAGGTGTAAGCTCAGGACACACAAGGAAGCAATCACATTGATCATCAAGAGACAGGTAGCGTTGGGACAACGAAAGCATATAGTATCTCACCGATGTTGAGTGACAATCCCATTTGGGTCGGCCGGATGCTCTGGTAGAAGCCGAACCACGACTGCAAGCCATCGCCGAGCCTCTGCGGCGTCCTAATGTCCGGCGAGTAGAACGACCGCCTTACGGAGAGGTACCTCTGGCTAGCGACTTCCCGCAGCACGACGTCGAGGACCTGTAGGCCCCCCTGCGGCTCATCGGGTTGCCGCCCCGCCATGAACTCCCGGAGGTGGCGCAGGTCGGCGCCGGCAGCGAATTTGATGGCCACCTTGTACTCCTTCTCCCTGCAGGTACAGGTAGAGGCAAACGAAATCAATTAGTCGTCCACAGAGACGGGGCGCGTTAGGGCGTACTGTGATTGCGTACGGATCGGCCGATTGTGTGTACCGGACGGTGGCGCTGGAGACGCCGTCGTCGTCGACGGCGAGGCGTATGACGAACTCTCGGGCGTCGAAGGGGAGGCGGCCGGCGGTGTAGAGGTTGCTGCGGCCGTCGTAGGCCGGGAGGCGCATGCCGAGGTCGGACGCGCGGTAGAGGCGAACCAGCTCGGCCACGATGGCCCGGCTCACGCTCCGCGACCTCACCTCCGGCGTGATCTTGACCTGCAGGACATCGAAAACACCACGCCGTGGTGGGTGTCACCGTCATGGTCACCACGGTTGCCCATGCACGGCCACGTTGTGTTCGGCGAGAGGCTACGAGTGGCGAGCGACTTACGTCGTACTGGGTGAGGTCCTTGTCGGCGACCTCCGCGAGGAAATGGTTGGCCTTCACCACGCAGCGCGTGCCCGCCTTCCCGAACCCCGGACGGCGGCAGAGCTCGAGCCCCTTGCTCGACACCGGCGGCGGCTCCGCTGGCGCGACGGCGACAACGCCAGTGCACGCGGCAGGCACCACCGCCTCCTCCTTGCTCCGCGCCCGCGCGCCGTTGCGCCGCGGGCCGCTCGCACCGGAATTGCACTTCTTGCATCCCGCCCCCGGCGACCGCGTGGCCGCCTTGGGGTGCGCCAAGCTGCTTTGCAGCGCCTGTCTCCGCGGCGGCCCCGGGCACCCGCCAGCCGCCTTACCACCGACCACCGTCCACGGCACCTCCAAAACCTCGAGCATCCCGCCGGACGTGGCCGCCGGGAGCCGCACTCACGCAACAAGACAAAGCAGGCGGCACGCGATCAAGAATCCAGGCAGGAAGCTCGATCCGCCGTCCAGCGGGAAGTACCAGCGGGCAGAGATAGTAGAAGAAGAAAGCCAAGATTTAGCTAGCATGCGTCAATGCGGACACGACGGCACGAGCGCGGCCCGATCACCACCGGGACAGGGAGCGAGGCATTCGAGCTCCGCGCGCCATAAAAGGGAGAGGTCGGCATTGACGCGACAGCCGCAGCGCGCACGAAAAAGGGTTCGCGGCGACGACGCCCTCCGGCATTAAAATCCTTCCTTGTTCCAGTACCCAAGCGATAACTCCACCTGAGCAACGGCGTTTTTACCAAACGGAGTAGGCGTCAGCGGGGCTAGGGCGGCACTGTAAAAGGTCACGAACAGTGGCGCAGTGGGTGGGCTACAGAAAGGCGGGAGTATTTTTATGGAACGGAAGCGGGTGGCGGAGAGGAGGGGGGAGGAAGCCTCGGCGATCTCACCGAAGAAGGAATTAATATGGCGACCTGTGCCAGCGTGGTGGCCGTGGCGTCGAAAGCAGCGCCGGCCTCAGGTTGGGGTGTGTGCACGCTGTTTTCAAAGACGCACTTGTGTCATGCGATGCATCGATCTTACGGCCCCTTTCACCACGAAAATTCAAGTCGTTCCCCGAGCTCATCTACATCCGGTTGTAGCAAAAAGAACACCTTGAACTTTTTGTGGTTTATAAGATGCTCAAATGCGTGATATTGTGTAAATTTTCAGCTTGTTTGAACATTCGAGAAGCTTGTGGCAAAAAAGACAAAACCTGATATAAACAGTGTTGCTTTCAAAAATTTCTCACCCTCGGAATTTGTTTTTTCGCCACAAGCTCCTCAAATGTTTAAACAAGCTGAAATTTTGCATGAACCTCATACATTTGAACATCTTACACAAAAAATATTTTTTTTATTTTGCTGCTATTTTTAAAATTTACTGTTCACACTCGGGGTGTAGATAACCATCCAGACCTGCCCATATGCAGAATAGCTATTTCCCGTTTAGATTTCTCTCCCAAAATATCATCGGAGCATGTACAACCGGGCGTCCTATATTGGCGTCAACCATCCAGACCTGCCCAGACACTCTTTGACAAAAAAGAACACTCAACCAATCATCCCAAAATGCAGCCCAACATCCGGAATAACAGGCAGCCCCATATTCAGCCTAATATGTGGGGTGGATTTGGGACGCATGGACGTGTCCATCACGTCGGATCCAACTCATTATGACCCACACCGATCCCACATACATTCATCCCTATCCGCTCTCCATACCAAACGTAGACACTTCACTTCCCTCTGTCCTCAAGCTCTTCTCTGACGAACTCCGGCCTTCTCCCGCATGACAGGCAGTGATCTGCCCCGGAGAACTCCTGGTCCATTGGTCGAGACCTTGTCCCGTGTAGAGATAAGAGGAGAGGATCGTATGCATGGCTCTCCACCGCTCCCAAGAGGAGTGCGCCCGACCGCGATAGAACTTGATACGAAGGGAATCCATTGTGTCCGGTCAAATGTCGCTTGGATCCGTCAGAGCTAGTAGCGTGAGGCGCGTGACGCCGTAACCAAGATGTGGTGGCTCAATCCCTTCGGTGCTACTGAGTCCCCATGGCGTCGGGCTCCCAGTCGGAGGTCTACACTGGCATGCCTCATGGCCCGTCCGTCGTGGACGCGCCGCGTGCCTGTGTGCGAGGAACATCGTGCGGGAGGGCGGGGAGGCAGAGTCGCACGACACCGGTTAGGCCGCCACTTCGGTCTGTCCACGTCAATTGTAGACCTTGCCTCGATCGGTGATGTCCAGGCCGTGGGCTCCAAGGAAGAAGAGTAGGACATGGGTGTGATGCCCCTGCCTCGACCGTGCACTAATCATATAAGCAAGCATGCATGATCAAGGCCAGAGACTCACGGGGAGATATGACAACACAACTCTAGACACAAAGACAATATAAAGTTCTATATTACAAGCGAAGGTCACGAGGACCAAATACATAAGTCAGCGAAACGATAATATCTGAGTACATACATAAATAGACAGGTTTGCCTTAAGAAGGCCGAGCAAAACAACGACAACTAGATCGAAAAGGTGCAGGCCTCCTGCCTGGGGCCTCCTATCTACTCCTGGTCGTCAGTCTCCACGTAGTAGTAGGCTCCCTTGGTATAATAGTAGTCATCGGCGGGATCAGTTGGCTCCTGGGCTCCATCATCTAATCGCAGCAATCAGGTAAAAGGGGGAAAATATAGCAAAGCAACCGTGAGTACTCATCCAAAGTACTCGCAAGACTTACATCAGATCTATGTTAAGTATGCATCAGTATCAAAGGGAATGGGCTATATCTGTGGACTATACTACAGAATTGCCAGAATAGAGGGGAAGACCTAGCCTAACGAAGACTAGCATCTTGCAGCAACAGAAGACAGTAGAGTAACTTAACATATAGTAACAAGTATATATTAGCCATGCCCAGAGATCCTTCCTTGTACACCCCATGAGAAAGCGACCCCGGAGTCATCATACCGGTTTAGTATCACCAATATCCACTTTTAGTTGTAATAGACCGGAATACAACTCCGAGCGTCTGTTACCGTGGCCACGGCTATTCGAATAAATAATTTTCCCCGCATGGGTGCACCAACTTACCCAACACGCTTGATTAACTTCGGTTGGACACACTTTTCGGGTCATATCCGGCCTCGGCTGATCGACACGCCGTAGTCCCACTTAGGCTCAACAAAGAGGTCAGCACGCCAACTACATCCTAAGTGCGAAGGGGTCATGGGCCAATCATTCTAATCACTCCTGAGCGTTGCGCAACTGGCAGGGGACTAGACCCACCTCCTTATACAAGCGCACGCGGTTACCGTCCACCCCAGCAATCAGCCCACATCTCTGAATTGTGACATCTAAAGAGCTTTCGGAAGAATCATACGACGCCGAGTGCCCATAACTTATCCCGCGTGGTGGTTAGTGCGAAAAGGCCAGGGGCCTACTCAGATCATACATCCAAACCCGTTAGTGTGTTGGGAGCTCGCGGTAATGATTAATGCACCTATCACCCCGTCTCGCGGTCTTACGACAAGGGCCAGGTCCATCCCTCTCTAGGGCAGTCTGAAGGAAATATGCCCTAGAGGCAATAATAAATTGTTATTTATATTTCCTTATATCATGATAAATGTTTATTATTCATGCTAGAATTGTATTAACCGGAAACTTAGTACATGTGTGAATACATAGACAAACAAAGTGTCCCTAGTATGCCTCTACTTGACTAGCTCGTTAATCAAAGATGGTTAAGTTTCCTAGCCATAGGCATGTGTTGTAATTTGATGAACGGGATCACATCATTAGAGAATGATGTGATGGACAAGACCCATCCGTTAGCTTAGCACTATGATCGTTTAGTTTATTGCTATTGCTTTCTTCATGACTTATACATGTTCCTATGACTATGAGATTATGCAACTCCCGAATACTGGAAGAACACTTAGTGTGCTATCAAACATCACAACGTAACTGGGTGATTATAAATATGCTCTACACGTGTCTCCGATGGTGTTTTTTGAGTTGGCATAGATTGAGATTAGGATTTGTCACTTCGATTGTCGGAGAGGTATCTCTGGGTCCTCTCGGTAATGCACATCACTATAAGCCTTGCAAGCAAAGTGGCTAATGAGTTAGTTGTGGGATGATGCATTACGGAACGAGCAAAGAGACTTGCTGGCAACGAGATTGAACTAGGTATGATGATACCCATGATCGAATCTCGGGCAAGTAACATACCGATGACAAAGGGAACAACGTATGTTTTTATGCGGTTTGACTGATAAAGATCTTCGTAGAATATGTAGGAGCCAATATGAGCATCCAGGTTCCGCTATTGGTTATTGACCGGAGATATGTCTCGGTCATGTCTACATAGTTCTCGAACCCATAGGGTCCGCACGCTTAACATTTGATGACGATTTGTATTATGAATTATGTGATTTGATGACCGAAGTTTGTTCGGAGTCCCGGATGAGATCACGGACATGACTAGGAGTCTCAAAATGGTCGAGACATAAAGATCGATATATTGGAAGGCTATATTCGGACATTGGAAAGTTTCTGAGTGGTTCTGGTATTTTTCGGAGTACCGGAGAGTTACGGGAATTCGCCGGGGGAAGTATTGGGCCTTCATGGGCCTTAGTGGAAAGGAGAGAGCGGCCACAAGGGGAGGCCGCACTCCCCCATGGGCTGGTCCGAATTGGACTAGGGAGGGAGCGGCGCCCCCCTCTTTCCTTCTCCCTCTCCTCTCCTTCCTTCTTTTCCTACTTGGACTAGGAAAGGGGGAAACCTACTCCTACTAGGAGTAGGAATCCCCCCCTTGGGCGCGCCCCTTGAGTCCGGCCCTCCTCCTCCTCCCCTCCTTTATAAACGGGGGAGGGGGGCATCCCATAGACACACAAGTTGATTTTTTAGCCATGTGCGGTGCCCCCCTCCACAGTTTTCCACCTCGGTCATATTGCCGTAGTGCTTAGGCGAAGCCCTGCGTCGGTAACTTCACCATCACCGTCACCACGTCGTCGTGTTGATGAAACTCTCCCTCGGCCTCAGCTGGATCTAGAGTTCGAGGGACGTCACCGAGCTGAACATGTGCAGATCGCGGAGGTGCCGTGCGTTCGGTACTTGATCGGTTGGATCGCGAAGACGTTCGACTACATCAACCGCGTTACTTAATGGTTCCACTTTCGGTCTACGAGGGTACGTAGACACACTCTCCCCTCTCGTTGCTATGCATCTCCTAGATAGATCTTGCGTGATCGTAGGAATCTTTTTGAAATACTACGTTCCCCAACAGTGGCATCCGAGCCAGGTCTATGTGTAGATGTTATATGCACGAGTAGAACACAAAGGAGTTGTGGGCATGGGTATATACATATTGCTTGCCATCACTAGTTGTT